AACAGAGCCAGACTCTGTCTCAAAAAAAAAAAAAAAAAAGTCACTGAATATAAAAAGCAGAGAGCAGCAGTTCTTTTCTTTGCTTCTCTATGCAAATGGGCTTAATTTTCATGTTTACAAAACTTTAGAAGTGGATATGCTTCTTGTCTCATGGGAGTTTAGCCACACCCGGCCCTGCCCCAGTTATTATCCCAAATTCATTCACTCATAGTCTTATATCCTCATGTTCTCCACTCTCTATTCTCTACCACAAACAGAACATTATTTCAGTGACTCCCAAATCTGTCTAAATACTTGGAATCAGCCTTTTAAAAATATAGAATCTCCAGAAGGTGGGACTTGGAATCTGTTTTTAAAAATCTCTCCAGATGATTCTTATGGTCAGTCATGTTTGTTAAACTCAATCCTAGATTATTATCTGGAAACCTCACGTGTATTAGAGGAGACAGAGGCAGACATTCTCCGGCTATAACCTGCTTCTTTGTTTGAGAAAAATAAACTAGAAAATTATGGCATTATTCCAGTGTTTCCTACTCAGCAAGGTATTTCCTACAGAGGAATTGTGAGGGTCTTCCCTGTGTTTCCTGGTCTCAAATATGGTTCAAATTTTTAAAAACAACAAAAAGTTTAGTTACTTCTTTCCAAATTTTTAACATATTTTGTTTCATGTGTACATGGAAAGAAGTGTATTGTGTAGTTGTTAGGTGCTGTGTTCTAAATATGCCAATTAGGTCAAGTTGGTTAATCATACACAAATCATTAACATCCCTTCTGGTTTGTTGTCTGATTGTTCTATCAGTTACTGAGAGAGGTATGTTAACATCTCTAATTATGAAAGTGAATGTCTTTCTCTTTTTAGTTCTATTAATTTTTGCTTTTTATACTTTGAAGCTATGTTATTAGGTATATATAAATTTAGAGTTATATCTTCCTGTTGAATGGACACTTATCATTATGAAATTCTCTGTTATTCTAGAAACACTTCTGCCTTGATTTTGTGTTTCTATGTAGATTGATAATTTTTTTTTTTTTTTTTAAGATATAGGATCTTACTCTGTTGCCGAGGCTGAAGTACAGCGGAGTAATCATAGCTCGCTGCAACTTCCAACTCTTGCACTCAAGCAATCCTCCCACCTCAATCTCCCAAGCAGCTAGGACTACAGATACAAGCCACCACTCCTGGCTGATTTATCTTTTGTTTTTGTAGAGACAGGGTCTTGCTATGTTGCCCAGGCTGGTTTTGAACTCCTGGGCTCAAGCAATCCTCCTGCCTCAACCTCCTAAACTGCTGGGATTACAGGCATGAGCCACTGTGCCTGGACTGACAATTATCTTTTAACTGGAGCATTTAGTCCATTTATATCTAATGTTTTCACTGGCATGGTTGAATTTAAGTCTACCATTTTACTATTTATTTTCTCTTTGTTTCATTTG